GCAGCACACACAACTTACATTCATAACATACGCAGCACACACAACTTACATTCATAACATACGCAGCACACACAACTTACATTCATAACATACGCAGCACACACACCTTACATTCATAACATACGCAGCACACACAACTTACATTCATAACATACGCAGCACACACAACTTACATTCATAACATACGCAGCACACACAACTTACATTCATAACATGCGCAGCACACACAACTTACATTCATAACATACGCAGCACACACAACCTACATTCACATCATATGCAAACCATACACAACACAACATTCAAACTATTTGTTTTCAATATCTTTACTTTAATTCTCACATGTTTTATTAACATACCAGACATATGGACGCTCAACTCGTTTTCTTGGCAACTATCGTGATCACACTTTCCCGGCAATACCCGACATATCAATGGAATTTGCTGATTCCATGTCACATTCGGTTGGATTTTAATTCTAATGTTTTTCAGTGCTAACATAAACGTGTGTGTGCGTGCGTGTTGAATATATTACTGTATTGAAAATTAAACGTTTTAACGTTGTGTCACAGGTTATACTGATACGGCCCCTAAATGATCCTTTGTTTGGCTATTTGACATGCCTGAATGCTTCAGTAATTATGAACAAAATGTGACTGCACAAAGAGGAGACCCCACCCGACACAACCTGGTTTGACACTTTACCGGGTATACTAAAAATCGAAATGTCGCTTTCCCGGGCCGACACAGCGCCTTGTTGATGCCTGATAGTCTGTCTCACAGTCCCCGAACCACATTATTTTCCCAACAGCCTACCCCTCCCTGCAATGTAGTCTGTCTCACAGTCCCTGAACCCCATTATTTTCCCTACTGCCTAGCCCTCCCTGCAATGTAGTCTGCCTCACAGTCCCCGAACCACATTATTTTCCCTACACCATAGCAATCCCTGCAATGTAGCCTAAAGCCCTAAATGAAGACTTGCGCGAGTGAGTATGTTAAAATTCAAGTCAACATGCACTATGAATCAGGCAAAGTCAACACATATACACACGTCCATTTCAGTTATAAAGTTTAAAGGATTTTCTTAAAAGACATATTTCTACATTTCACTATTATTTTCTATTAAGGAATTCATATCACCAAATTAAAAAACAGGAACTTTGTCATGCACTTACATAACGTTTACGGATTGCTTGGTTTTTTTCAGATTAGACTATCTCATTTAGACTTTATGCTTAAAATTAGAGTTTGGGCTTAAAATGTGTGTGAGTGGTGAGTGAGTGAGTGAGAGAGAGGACTTGACCTCGTCACTTTATGCTTGATGTAAAGCTCAATTCAACTCAACATAGCGTTTACCACGAGGTGCTTGAATTGCTTCATGTTTTTTTGACTGCAAATAGTCTTCATTTCAAGTTTTCAGTTAGTAACAAATTTAAATTGTTCATTCCAACATGCATTATATCTATTTTGACTGTGGTATTACACTGCCATTTTCAGAGTGAGTGAGTGAAGATTTTAGGTCACATCGGCATTACTTTAGCTATAGAGCGACTGGACTATGTCTGCACACCTACACAAGTCCATTGATTTAATGGCATATTATTTTCGATAACATCAAACCTCGCACACACACCCAACCCACCACCGACACACCTCTCTACCTCCATATCTAACCCTAACCTCCACCCCCATCGACACCACCACACTACCCACATATCTAAGCCTTACCTCCACCTAATCGACACACCACCCTACCTCTACCCCTATATCTAACCCTTACCTCCACCCCCACCTCACCTCTCTACCCCCATATCTAACCCTAACCTCCACCCCCATCGACATACCACCACTTTACATCTATATCTAACCCTTACGTCCACCTCCACCACTCTACCCTATAGTCTGTTTGGCTCAAAAGCGGACCGATGAATTGCAATCTAACTCGAAAACTAATAAACATAAAGTACTCAATGAAACGCTGATCATTATCAAAACATCATACACACTCTCGAGTTTTTTTGGAGAATTTTTGTCCTAAAAATAGAAAAGTTGTTTAACAATCTATCATTACAATATTGACACCGTTCACTATTTGTTACGAGGGTGGAGTGCAGAGAAAGGAACAGCCAGGTGTTCGAGAACGGAATGAGACGGCACAGCACAGGTTAATGAATAAATACCTTTGCCTGTGAACGTGCTTCTCGAACACCTGTTTGTTAGTTTTCGAGTTACATTGCAAATCATCGGTCCGCTTTTGAGCCAAACGGACTAGCTATAGCTAAGCCCACTCCCACTTTCAACGCACGGGTTTCTGAAGACCAATTCTAACTCGGATCTTCACGGGTCGGTAATGCATGTGTGACGCTTGCGTTATTTCAGCCACGAGACTATGTCAACACATCTACACAGTCCACAAAGTCACATCCAGACATCGCAATACTATGTGAGGTGAGGTGATATTTGGTTTTACGTCGTGTTTGAGAATATTTCGCTCAAATGACGACGTGCATGCGTGTGTATGTGTATGTGCGGCTGCTTGTACTAGCCCACCTTTAAGCTACAGGGACCAGCAAGTACCATATTTTAACGTGTTTTGGTATGACGCGGTAGGGGATCGAACCCGCAACCTTCCGCTCTCCGGGCGGACGCTCTAACCATACGGTATCCCGGTTTCCCCATCCCAAATAATATTTATAAATGAACATACACTAAAATTATTAACAAAACCTAACACAACAAATGGTAGAGAACTCTAACTAAATAACTAAAACACCAAACATTAATTACAATATATAGGGTGAAACCGCGTTGTTACCTCTGTTAATTTGCGGAAGAAAGAGTGAGTGAGTGAGTTTAGTTTTACGCCACACTCAGCAATATCCCAGCTATATGGCGGCGGCGGTCTGTAAATAATCGAGTCTGGACAAGACAAGCCAGTGATCAACAGCATGAGCATCGATCTACGCAATTTGGAACCGATGACATGTGTCAACCAAGTCAGCGAAACTGACCACCCGATCCCGTTAGTCGCCTTTTACAACAAGCATAGTCGCCTTTTATGGCAAACACATGGGTTGCTGAAGACCTATTCTACCCCGGATCTTCAATATGGGGAAATGGAAGGAACTCTTTCAACAAAACTTGATCAAACCCGCTTACCTTTATGAAGATGTCCTCCAACAGAGAGTCGTGACAGAAACGAAGCTGTGACCATTATTTTGTAGGACTGAAAATTACGTAGATATTCCCTTTCTAACTGACATCTCAACTTTCGTAAATCATTCTCGTGGTGAAAGTGCTTGAAAAAGAAACCACAATTCTTTGTATCCTGTATTTTGGTTTGTGATGCACGTGGAATGCATTCTCTGCCTCTGTTTCACGTGCACACGCTACGTCGCGAGCTGACATTTACAATGCACGGCACATGGCTCTTCATACTGTCGTAGGGCCCTAAACCAGTATTTTATCAGTACCATCACTTTGCAAATACAGGGTGATGGGGTTAAAATAAATATGGAGCCAAGGCAAGGGTATTTGTTCACCGGATTCTTCTGATTGCTTTAAATATGAACAAATTGACTTGTGCAAAATCACATTACTGTATAACGTTTTATAATGCTTGCATTGAAATGTTTTGCGAAAACAATTGAATTATCCAGTTATCATAAATTTGAAATAAAACAGTTCCGTCTATTCAAAGGGTAAAGTAGTGAGGTGAAATTGGATTTAACGTCGTGCTTGAGAATATTCCGCTCATATGACGACGTGCAAGCGCGTGTGTGTATGTGCGGCTGCTTGTACTAGCCCAGACTTAAGCTGGTTTTATAGTGCTAGCCCACTGAGATACATGCCGCAGTGAAGCATGGATACCCCATTCAGACACATTATCAGGCCTACGAAAGAAAACTTTCCCACTGTGCAGAAAAACGCAGAAAAGCCCACATTAATCGTGGAAATAGCAACATAAACATACTACCGCGCTACTGAAACAGTAACCTCCACTCCCATCCCCACCCCTACCGTAACACGACCGCAACCAAACCCCTCCATAACACGGCCCCTAACTCCACCCCCACCTCCGCTCCCCTCCCCAACCTTACTGCAACACGACCTCAACCTTTCCATAACACTCCACGCCCTTCCCAACCTCCTTCCCACCCCTACCGCAACCAAACCCTCCATAACACGGCCCCTAACTCCACCCCCACCCCAACCTCCACTCCCTCCCCTTCCGCAACACGACCCCAACCAAACCCCTCTATAACACGAACCCTAACCCCACCCTTATCACAACCCCATCGACACAGGACCCTACATCTACCCCCACCCCCCACCCCCACACACACACTCAAGTCTGAATTCATACATATTTTAAATACAAATTCAAAAATATATATTTCTTACATTTTTATTTACAAGTAGAAAATGTCATAGCACCAAATTCAAAAACAAGCAGCCCGTCATTCACATTACATAGCTACAATTTATGGTACAGGTCAACTTCCCTCACATAGCTAACAATGAGATGCCCGCTGACACGGGAAAACAGGTCTTTCAGATTTACCCAACCATAATGCGATTCCCTTGCAGCCTATATATCCTTGTATTTGAGAGGAACAGCTGGATGTACGCCAGGCAAGTGCCTATAAATCAGTTAATTCATTCACCTGTGCTGTGCCGTCTTCGTCGTTTCTCGCACACCTGGCTGTTCCTCTCATTGCACTCCTCCCTCGTAACAAATTGTGGACTGTGTTAAATATTTTTATGATAGTTTATTAAACAACTTTTTTTTATTTTGAGGACATAAATTCTGCAGAAAAATCACAGAGTTGGTTGATGTTTTGATTATGATCAGCGTTTCATTGAGTATTATATGTTTATTAGCTAAACTGGACTTAAACTGTGGAAGTAAACGGCATGTCATAACAATTTACAAATAATATCCAGTCCTGTCGATCATGGGTGGTCCTGCCACTTGTATATTTTGAGACATTTATTACTATGGCTGATTTAAGCTTTTCTTTTGGTGTCATACTCTTTTACACGTAAGATGTTTATCAATAGATAAGACACATTCAACACAAATAAAAAGCATAAAATATCTTGGAGATGACCCCTTGTGCCTGTCGACAGCATTTGGATTTTATGCCGGTTGAGTCGACGGTCAGTGGTCACACCTGGCTGAGCGACCTACAGTCCGGTTGATTGTTGTCGACACCTTTCGCTATTTTATACGAGGGGTGGAAGGGTGTTGTGAGGGGGGTGGTGGGGGGTGGTGTTGAGGTGAGGGGAGGGTCCACTTGCTTTTATAACAGCCATATGCACATGTGAAATTCAAATTTCACTACACACGCTTGTTGATTACATGGCTGCTCTACCAACAAGGGATCACCCCTCGTAGAAAAAAGCGGGATGAGACGACCAAATAATGATCGTCTGTTAAACAAGTTTTGTGGGTGTTCAAAATTATGAGACAAATCATCAGAGTTGGTCTGTCGATTTCAAGATGTGAATTCAAATCCACGCTCAGCGCTTTAAACTTTTATGACCCGTAACAACTAAAAGTTCATCACTGTGTCATTACAATTAACAAAAACACGTCCTCATAACTCTTCACCGTGCACAGCTGCAGACACTACTTATACAAGGGCCACCAACGGTGTCTTACCGGGAAGTAGACATTTCTTATTACAGTAAAAATCTTTTGATGTTGGGGGGGGCTGACTGTGCATGTTGTTTTAAGTGAGTGAGTGAGTGAGTTAATATTTTACGTCACATCGGCAATATTTCAGCCATATCGTGACGAGAACATTTAATATTGAAACGAAATATATCTATATCATAAAAACCTGCCGACGAAGGACAGTAAAACAACTAGAATATCACAGTTAGACATGTAAAACTAGTAATTAAATCTCTATATTTGAACTATAGGTGACAACACAATATAAAAAGAGGCTATATATCGCCAACAGCTGAAGGTAGATCACCATACTAGAGACCATGGGGACTTACAGTACATTTGCTTCCTGCATGGACCCTAGCTGGATTTACACCATCCCTTCAGCTATTAGCAATTTTAGAAAATCTAGCCACAAATTAAACGAACAGATATTCTACGATTAAAATGGTAGTAGGTTTAAATCCACTTTGAATGTATTGGGACTTACGTACCCTCTCCGGAGGACTGTTGTTTTAAGGGATTAACTTTCTGGGTTATACTAAATTCTGAACTACTTTACGAAATATGTCGTGTTTTCACTTATATGTCTGAAATCATTAAAGCTGATATGAACTCACATAGTTTTTTGGACAATCATTGACTGACATTGATTGACACTGATCCCAAAATCCCGACAAGAGATCGTAATTCCAGACAAATATGCAGTGACAGACGCTGCTGAACCTTTCGTCCTCATAACTGACGGTGATGACGATAACATCCTGGGGATGACGACCATCGCCAACCCCGAACATTTGTGTGCCGCAGACATTATGTACAGGACTTTATTTGGCACCAGCAGTTATACAGAAGGGTGGCATGGACGTCTTAAGAAGATCGGCTCATCCAAATGTGTTTGAGATGTTGTCTTCTCTGAGGTCAGAACAGGAACGGAATGAAATCCGCCCAGTCCAGTGTACTGCAACATTAACAGCAGAATAGACATTTTGAAGGATGATTTGTCTGGCAGACTTAGTGTACTTGCGTACGCAGACGCAGTTTCATAATTAATGAAACTACAGCGAAGACTGGATGTGTACTTTGTATCATGAAACAATGAGTACAAAATAAACTGATTAAAATAATTTGTGCTAAGGTGTCCATTCAATTAAATTACATTTGGATTTGTTGTCATATCATTAATAACGTAAAATATTCTCTAAAATCTGGTTTATTTTATGTATATCACTTCGTTGTACAATTTCTTTCATTTTCCATTTGCGAATTTAGTGTTACCCGCATGCTTATGCGTGCCGCCCTTATTTGTTGTTACAAACATCACAAATGTCTACTTCCCGGTAATAAACCCCACCAATATCCATATCCTGTGTTGCTATGCTAATCCTTTCATTATAGCTGGGGCGGTCGTGTAGCCAAATGATTAAACCGTCCGCTCGTCACGCCGAAACCACGGGTTCGATCCCCACATGGGTACAATATGAGAAGCCCATATCTGGTGTCCCTCGCTTTTATAGTGTTGGAATATTGCTAAAAGCGACGTAAAAATATACTCATTCACTCATTTAAAAACTCTGAAGTCTGATGACGAGTCCTACAGTTTTCCGTGGCGGATCCGAAGGAACTTTAAACGTACAACTCCTGATTGTCTCTCGCAGTCTCTGAACCGCACTATTTTCCCTACTACGTAATCCTCGATTTCAAGTACTAATTTGAAAGAAGTTTCTTAAATGAACAGACAAAATAATACCAACTTTCAAAAAAGGAAATTTGTCATACACATTTAACAATTACAATTTCTAAGTCAGAGCGAGTGGGTGAGTGAGTTACATTTTACAAAGCATCGGGATTATTTCAGCCACAGAGTGACGGGACCATGTCAGCAAATATACATAAATCATTATAAGTGTTTAAAGTAGTTTCTTAAAATGCATATTCCTACACTCCAAAATTCTTTGCAAACACTTACATAGTTACAGTTTATGCTACACACACATTTCTTTTAAGTAATTAACATTCAGGTGCACCCTGACGCGGGAAAACAGAACTTTAAAATTTATTGCCTCAAAACAAATGCGTATGACATATACAAGTATAATATTGTCAAGCCAGTGACGCATTTCTTCAAACCTTTCTTATCGGGCAATAAGAACTGGAGCCAACTTCTATCGTTGTTTATTAAAATATTTACATTGATGGATTGATTTATTGATAAGTCGAAGTAATTTTAATCGGCGTTCGGTCATCTAGGCCCATCTACACCTTGCCTATCAAAATGGTTTTTGAAGTTCCTAAAATCATATCATATTCATTAATTGATATCAGGATTTCTTTGTTCTGGAGAAAAACATAACGTTCCTAGTTGTAGGAGTATTCGCTCAAACACACATCGCTTCGCGGAATGTTAGTTTCCTGCAACAAGCAGATATGCGTTCATGGTTGTGGGAGTATTCGCCCAAACACACATCGCTTCGCGGAAAGGTATATGCTTTGGAACTAGTCATTGACCGGAAAATGTATTTCTATTTAAAGATACGCTTTTTTGTGGTTATTATAAATACATACATTCGGTGGTTTCAAGTTACATTCCCCATGGTACTTAGTAGCCTATAGCCTTTTTTATCCCCCGCAACGCGTTTTGCGGGGGGTATTAAACTGGACTCTGTCCCTGCGTGCGTGCGTGCGTGCGTCCGTCCGTGCACATTTGTCTTTTCCGGAGCAGAACTCTAAAACCGTTCAATATTTCTTCACCAAACTTGGCACATAGATAGATCTGGTGGTGTACTGGTACCTTTTGGTAGTTTTGGAATTCTGAATAGAACATTTTTGGCGTTTCCATGGCAACAAGTTTGACTTAGAATGAAATTAGTGGTAGTGCTCTTTTCCGGAGCAGAACTCTAAAACCGTTCACTATTTCTTTACCAAACTTGGCACATAGATTGGTCTGGTCGTGTACTGGTGCCTTTTGGTAGTTTTGGAATTCTGAATAAAACAGTTTTGTTGTTTCCATGGCAACAAGTTTTGACTTAGCCTGAAATTAGTGGTAGTGCTCTTTTCCGGAGCAGAACTCTCAAACCGTTCACTATTTCTTCACCAAACTTGGCACATAGATAGATCTTGTGGTGTACTGGTGCCTTTTGGTAGTTTGGGATTTCTGAATAAAATATTTTTGGCATTTCCATGACAACAAGTTTGACATAGACTGAAATTGATGATAGTGCTCCATTCTGGAGCAGAACTTTAAAAACCTTTCAATACTCTCCTTCCACTTTTCTATATACACACCTAAACATTTGACATAATCATAACTCGTAGACATAATCATGAAGAGTATTTTACCATTGCGGGGGGATATTGATAACTTTGTCTTCTTGTTTAAATTGTATTCTCTTTAAAAATACCGTTTTATGATAACATGCTAGTTTTACTTTAATACCTGTGATACACTGGTAGTTTTACTGTTCTTCGTCAACAGGCTTTTAATTAGCAATTTTATTGTTCTATAATACAATAATTAATTGCTTTCGTCACGATATGGCTGAAATATTGACGATAATTATTCACTCACTCACTTTGTCATTAAAATGATTTAGATTTTACATACTAGTTTGAAATTCATATCTGTAATATTCCAGTTAATTTTACTGTTCTTCGCTGACAGTTTTCTTTAAAATACCTTAATTTATTGTGAAATTATAATTTTTCTAGTCACGATATGGCTGAAATGTTGCCGATGTGACTTAAAATCTTATATATATACGGATGTAAGTAAATTATTAATATGTGTCGTGTAAAAATAAACGTGTTCGATCAACATTCTGTCATAGTCATTCCTTAAATCAAAAGGTTTCAAAGTTTACAGTATTATATATAATCTAGATATTAAATACATCGTAAAAACTATTGCATACATCATCTTAAATACTATCACATACATCATCTTAAGTCATCATAGATACATCATCTTATATACACATCAGTTCACACACCACACATTACACATTAGTATCCGGTGAGATTAGATACACAATCTGTGTACTCTGTCAGACAAGTCACCAGCTTGCAGTCTGGTCTTGAAGGTGGCAAGTCGACCCCCTATGTGTGTCTCTTGCGATGAGTTTTCACCATCAAGCATATTCTGCTTGAATGCGTGGACTGATCGTCTGCAAGGGACTCACATTATGATGCAACAAATCTGAAAGATATGTTCTCCCGCGTGAGCGCTTGAACAGTTGACCATATATTTTCGAAAACTTGTTTTTCAATAATTTAGCAAATATTGATAAATTGAGTCTTTCAAAACAAAACATAACCAACTAATAATAATAATTGGCTCCATCAGAGAGGGTTCTGGTGTTGACTCCCGCCGACAAACCTAATCTTGTCCTTTACGATAAAGCCACTGAATTTCTTTATAACATTGAATCTTCTGTTCCTATGACAGCAACATGATCGGAAAGAATCAGGAAAAGCATGCTGAATATGCGGACCTCACATTTGAAATGTCTTGCATGCATCCCAAGAAGACTGTTGACATGGTCTCGGTGCCCTTGGTTTGGTACCTTCTGATCTCTTTGCGCAGATCAGGAGAGTGCCGGGTTTCCTTCCAGGAATACAGCCCTTCTGACACTGAGCGTAATGCTACAAGGCTGCAGTGTTGGGGAATCTACATATTCTCCGGAAAGTTCTTGGTGGGTTTGATAAGGCAGTGTTTCCTGGGAGAGGCCCCTTTTGCTGTCTGGGCTGTGTGTAAAAGGGGTCAAGGGCCCTGAGCTGATGATGAGCCTTACCAAACTGACTGTGCCAAGATCACCCAAACCCTCTCAGCTGCATCTTCATCTGCAAAACATAATAATAATGTGTCCATTTATATATTCCAAACACCAGCTAGGTATGCAAAGTGAAACTCTTAAGGTCACATTTATTATTACAGCCACCTAACAAAACTTTGTCCTTATCCTTTCCAAATATTAAAATGGTATGTTACGAACGTCTTCAGCACTGATTCCAATAATACTATATTGTAAGTTACAGTCTGTAAAATGTGATGGATTTGTATGATGTGGCTTAACAAAATGAAATGTCAATGTTTTTATTCAAACTGCAGCCATCTTATATGAACATAAGATATATTTACAACAGTTTTACAGCTGACACACATCAATATCCTACTTTGAACAAAACTAATGTCCTACTTTGTACAAAATTAATTCAGTGCACTTAAACAACCAAGATATGCATTCATTTTGTCCAAAGCTGAAAGGACTAACAGTTTATGAAATGTAACCTTTACTGACATGTTCTCCATCATAAGGGATGAATATTTCAATATCAAATTTTAACTGACTCACTCACTCATCACTGACATGTGATCAACTGGATTTGACTATTGAAAAATTTATCCATATACAGAAAACACGGTGAATATTTATTCAAATAAATAAATAACTGAACAAAAGTATCTTCAGACATGACAAATGGCAATAAAACATTGGTTTAGTATTACGCAATGCATGATTTTGATATTGCACGAAATGTACCAAGACTTGGAAACATGAGAGTCTCTAGATGAAGAATGTATGGCAAGAATAGTCCCAAGGCTGCTTTGTGAGAAGTCTAGTTTATTCTAGTGCAAGTAACTTTTATGTAAATATTCATCCATTGCATATTTAATCATGTTTATCAAATCAAACTAGTGGGTAAAAATCGATCAGGATATGCTATGGTCTTTTCACATGCTAAAGTTCACACAGTAGAGTTGGTTAATATATGTAAAAAAAGGTGAAATAACGTAAAGATAACTGATTATACAGGACAGACTCCGACTGTATCGAATCACAATGGAAGATAAATCAGTTCAATAGAGAAAACATGAACAGGAAGAAAATCAAAATTACACTGGCTACATCCAAGCCATTTCACCTGTGAAGACAAGCAGGACAAATCTTGAATATTTCAATGGCATTTTCCAGTGCTAGAAGGACGAATACACGGAAATGGTCATTTTTAATGACAAAGTTCATGCTTCGTTCATGCATGCCGAGAAGCAAAGGTAAGTCAAGTCTGTTTGCAACTGTAGGTCAAAACCAGTGTTTGCTATCCAGAACCATAAAGTTGAGTATTTATTAAGTTTCTCGTGCGACAAATTGACATCATAAACATTAGTAAAGTTCATTTCCACTGCTTGAAAAATAACATTTACACTATTTCATGTGTTTATTTAGTTTGTATTCAGCTGGAGGTAGGATCCTCTCAGAGACCATATTCATAATTAATTAAAGTTATGTGTTCTATGTACATTAAACCAGTCAACTGGCATAGTTCTGGATCGATTGGTTGACAAATGTTTGGGATAGTGCCGTAACATTCACGGAGACTTGAATGAACAGGCATCAAGGTCACAAAAGTCAGTACCGTGTATGGCCGCCATTTGCATTTACCACTGCAGCACAACACCTGTACATGGAATGCACCAAATTCTTGGTAAAGTTCAGTGGGATGTTGGTAACTGCCTGTAGCACTGCTGCTCGAAGTTCAACAGCATTTGTTGGCCTTGGACGAACTTGGTTCAGTCGTCTTTGAGTTTCGTCCCACAAATGTTCAATTGGGTTTAGGTCGGGACGCATGGATGGCCAGGGCAGAACAGCAATGTTGTGATGTTGCAGATGTTCTTGTGTTACCCTTGCAACATGCGGTCTCGCATTATCATGCTGGTAAATGTGGTTCTGATGTCTGGCAAAAAATGGCACAACATGGGGTTG